CGCTTACAGGCAGTGCAGCGGCTGCTGTATCACCAACGTCATGCTTGGATGGATATGGCCTGTGCCCTTCTGCAGGTTGCTGGTCACATGGGCCTGGACAGACACCTGTTCTCCCTTTCACTGGGAACAGTGGACTTAGGAGGTTTGACTCCTTTTTACTCAGCAGCTGTGGAGGCCTGGCAGCTTTTTTTCTTTTTCAAGGGAGAGCTGCGCAGTTCCATCCAAGTGGATATTCGAGGAACCTTTGTTCTTTAACTCTGCATTTCCAACACTGTCCCGGGTCTCTGGTGCACTGAGGGTCAGCTTCTTGGAAGCTGGCATCAGTAAACTTTGCCATGTGAGGAGGGGTACACAGCGGAACTGTTGGCAGATATGGTTGGTCTCAGGTCAGTGCACATGGTTTCACAGGTACTAGACCAGTTGAGGTCTGACCTGTCTGTCTCAGTTCTAGAATATCTGGATACAGCACCTGTGGAGGACTGCCGGAGTGAAATGGTGGATTTTCCAGAGCTGGTGGTCAGAGTGGAATGGGAGGACTGGCAGGATGGTCAAGGGAAGCTCCTTTAACTAGGGACCCCAGCTCTTGGGAACTTTAGTGGACTAAACAAATGGTTATTATATTTTGCCTGTAATAAAGTCTTGAATTTTCGGTCTCTCATGGATCTGCGGGAAACCAAATGGACTGAGGTTGTGGGGGCAGACTCGTCACCCAAAGGTAGCTGGCGGTCTCTGTACAAAAGGCCCATTGAAAAGAGAGTGGGAGACCTCCAGTGGAGGATTGTACATGGGATATTAGCCACAAACAGGCACGTGGCATGACTTGATCCTTTAGCTGGGGATGGGTGTCCTTGTGACTATGTGACCATAGTTGCTCACCAAGATGGCGGCGCGTGCACACGCTGCGGCTTCTCTCTCTCCCAGCGAAATGGTGTTTTCGTGTTATTTGTCCTGCGAGTCGCAGGGTTTTTGTATGTCTTCGTCGCGTTTACATGTCTTGAAGCGCACATACAGCCGTGAGTTCCTGCTTGACATTGGCAGAACCTCATTTTTAGAGTTAAACTCGCAGCGCAAGGAAGAGCTACGAGTCTGCGGTTTGCTTAGGAGTCCGGCACCAACACCGCCCCCCACTCCTGCATCTCGCCCAGAGTGGAGGCGCCACAAGCGGCATGAGCGGAAGCAAAAGAGGGGTAAGCGCGGAGGTATCCGAGCTAGGCTAACGGCTAGCCCACACAAGCCGGCCATCCCCAGCATGGTACTGGCCAACGTACGCTCACTGGACAACAAACTGGACTACATACGCCTGCTACGCTCAACTCAGAAGTCTGTGAGCGACTGTTGTGTGTTTGTATTTACGGAAACATGGCTCAGTAACAACATACCGGACCACGCCATTCAGCTCGAGCGGCTAACATGCTATCGAGCGGACAGAGCTCTCGTTGAAGGAGGTAAGACCCGCGGCGGGGGGCTTTGTGTTTACATCAATGATGCCTGGTGTCGTGACGCTGCTGTGGTCTGCAAACACTGCTCACTGTTAGTGGAGTTTATGGCTATTAAGTGCAGGCCATTCTATATATTCTATATATTGAATATACTGCCATTATAATCGTCGCTGTTTATATTCCTCCGAGCTCCAACAACAACAATAGGAGTGAGGCACTGAATGAGCTGTATCGACACATCAGTGAGCAGCAGACAGCCCACCCTGATGCTTTTCTCATCTTGGCTGGAGATTTCAATCATGCAGACCCAAAGAGTGTGTTTTCAAAAATATATCAACACATAAACTTTCCAACACGGGGAAAAAACACACTGGACCATGTTTACACCACCCAGAAAGAAGCTTACAAAGCCATTCCCCTCCCCCACCTTGGCGCCTCTGACCACATCACTGTTATGCTAATGCCAGCATACAGGCCACTGGTTAAAGTCACTAAACCAGTTCAGAAGCAGGTACGAGTGTGGCCGGAGGGGTCTTCAGAGACACTTCAAGACTGTTTTAACACCACAGACTGGAATGTTTTTAAACAAGCGGCGACCTACAACAACACCACAGATCTTCAGGAGTATACTGACACAGTCACTGGCTACATCTCAAAGTGCATTGAGGATGTAACTGTTCTCAAGACCATCACGGTTTGGGCCAATCAGAAGCCATGGCTGACAGGGGAGGTCTGCAGGCTACTGAAAGCTAGGAATGCTGCCTTCTCAGCAGGAGACAAGGTGGGCCTGAGGGCAGCTAGGACCAACCTGCCCCGCGGCATCAGGAAGGCAAAGAGGCAGTACTCCAGGAGGATAGCCCATCGCTTCAGCGACAGCAGAGATACACGGAGCCTGTGGCGGGGGATACAGACCATCACAGACTACAAGCCCCCACCGCAGACCTGTGTCAGCTCCACCTCTCTGCTGAATGAGCTTAACAACTTCTTCGTCCGGTTTGAGACAGACAACAACATGCCTGCACAGAAGGTCTCACCCCCTCCTGGAGACCAGGTGCTGACGCTGTGCCCAGTCAGTGTGAGGAGATCATTCAGCAGGATCAACGTTCGGAAAGCTCCTGGTCCTGACAACATACCCGGTCGTGTGCTGAGGGACTGTGCTGGGGAGCTCACAGATGTCTTTACAGATATCTTTAACATCTCGCTGAGTCAGGCTGTTGTCCCGACATGCCTGAAAGCCACCACCATCATCCCTGTCCCGAAGAAAGCGGCACCCTCCTGTTTCAGTGACTACCGTCCAGTTGCACTCACTCCCATCCTCATGAAGTGCTTCGAACGGCTGGTCATGCAACACATCAAGTCTGTCCTTCCCCCCTCCCTGGACCCCTTCCAGTTTGCATATCGGCCTAATCGTTCTGTTGATGATGCCATCTCCACTGCCCTCCATTCGGCCCTCACACATTTGGACAAAAAAGACTCTTATGTCAGAATGCTATTCATAGATCTCAGCTCCGCATTTAACACCATCATCCCCCAGCAGCTCATTCTCAAACTGGACAGGCTGGGGCTGAACACTTCACTGTGCAACTGGCTGTTAGACTTCCTGACTGGGAGACCACAGGCAGTACGGGCCGGCAACAACACATCCCGCACCATCACACTGAACACGGGGGCCCCCCAAGGATGTGTATTGAGCCCCCTCCTATTCACTCTGATGTCCCACGACTGCACACCATCACACAGCTCCAACCTCTTCATCAAGTTCGCGGACGACACGACTGTGGTGGGTCTCATCAGCAACAACGATGAGACAAACTACAGGAGCGAGGTGAGCCGCCTGGACTTGTGGTGTAGACACAACAATCTCCATCTGAACATTGAGAAGACGAAGGAGATCGTTGTGGACTTCAGGAGAACGTGCACCCAGCATGCTCCTCTGACAATCAACGGTGCTGCTGTGGAGAGGGTGAACAGCACTAAGTTCTTGGGTGTGCACATCACAGAGGACCTCTCCTGGGCCAACAACACAGCATCACTGGCCAGAAGGGCTCATCAGCGACTCTACTTCCTCCGCAAACTGAGAAGAGCCAGAGCCCCAGCCCCCATCTTGTGCACCTTCTACAGAGGTACCATCGAGAGTATCCTGACCAGCTGCATCACCTTGTGGTATGGCGCCTGCACCGTGTCCTGCCGCAAGACACTCCAGCGCATCGTGACAGCAGCTGAGAAGATCGTTGGCACCTCCCTCCCCTCCCTCCAAGAGATATACAGCTCACGTCTCACCCGAAAAGCCCTCAGCATGGCAGGTGATCCCACTCACCCACTACACACCTTCTTCAGCCTGCTGCCATCAGGGAGGAGACTGCGGAGTCTCCGGGCCAGGACCAGCAGACTGGGGGACAGCTTCATCCACCAGGCTGTCAGGACGCTGAACTCTCTCCCTACTTTGCCCCCCCCTCTCCCCTTCTGCCCCCCCCACACACAGAGTTTTGGACCCATACACGGGTTCCTGATCCCCACTCCCCCAATACTGAACTCTGACCTTCTCAGGGACTGTTACGCACTCATCACTTTAACTGCTCCATAAGCTCATTCCAATAGCACTACTGTTTATATTTGCACTATTTATACCCACAGATCTTAATCTGTTGTGCCTCATGTCACTTCGTGTTAATTCTCAAGATCTATATTTATATATATACATATATATTTATTATTCAAATTTTCTTTTATTTTATATATATGTATATATATATATATATATATATATATATATATATATATATTTTGTGCTTATTTTTACGATTAGTGTTTAGTGTTTATTTAGTGTCTATTTAAATTCACTTTTTCTGTTTACTTTCTATTTAATGTTATTGCTACACCATGGGGTCTGAGAGTAACGCAATTTCAATACTCTGTATGTCCTGTACATATTGTAGTATTGACAATAAAGCTGACTTGACTTGACTTGACTTTTGTGGGGTTTCTGAGACGTTGTCTCATGTTTTCGTACAGTGCTCTCGCCTACGCCAGATTTTAAACTTAGTTAGAAACTGGGGTTTAGAGATTTTGGGTGTCTTTGACCAGAGCTTATTTCTCTACGGACCAAAGTATTCTGTCTCGAGGAGGGACGAGGTCATACTTTTAAACTTTTTGTATGGAGCAGCGAAACTGGCTATTTGGTGTAGCAGGAAGAACAGGATCAAAGGGCGCGGGGGAACTGATCCTGTATTAATGGTGAGGGGTTTGGTGTCAAGGCGACTCCTGTTGGAATATGCCTACTATACCCTCACTGATGATGTAGACACATTCTTTGCTGTGTGGGGGGTGGGGGCTTCATCTGTGAGCCTGACGATCAGGGTGGGTTTGTAATAACTTTGTGTAGGAGACAGTTTGAGGCGTGTTTGGAAAACTCATGTTTTGTTAACGGTTTAATCTGGATAACAAAGGTTTTTTGTGTTATGTTTTTGTTATGGTATGTTAAATAAAGGTGCTTGAAAGTCAAAAAAAAAAAAAAAGTCTCTCTCTCTCTCTCTCTCTCTCTCTCTCTCTCTCTCTCTGTAG